CATCTTTGCTTTCCAAATCATTAAAATGAAACATCAGAAATGATGCCGCAGACTTTAATGATGCCAAAGACTAAACATCTGACTTTACCTGGGTTAGCATTGCCACACCCTAGCCCCATGGCTTCTCTTAAGTAGATTACATAGGAGTGAACAAATAAATTTAACATCAACTAAGTATCACACTGATATAAAAGTGCAAAAACCTTACAATAATTTTTAAAGTAATGACAAGGACATTCAACATATAAAATATTCTGAAGTCCGAATAAAGGCAACTAAGTCGACATTTTCTTACACACACAATACCTAAGCATCTCTTGCACTCAGTAAAATAAATATTTGAATTTATGCCCAAAATTGCCGAATGTAACAAACAGTCCCTAATCCTGTTTTTATTTCCAACTACCTTGGAGAAGAGGAAGAATGACATTATGCCTGTGAAATATTTGTGGACTGTCAAATCTATATGAATATTTACCACCTTCCAGTATCTCAGGACATTGAGAGTTAATGGAAATAGTGGAGTTCAAAATATGAAATCTTTCACCTCTAGACCTTTGGCCAAACTCATGCATAAACTCCTTCTCATAAAAACAACGGTTTACACTCAACTCTCCATCGTGGGTTTACTTGCTCCACTTCAAGAAGGGTGCTTAAGGGCCGGCCTAGTGGCGCAATGGTTAAGACCTGGCTTGGGACGCCAGAGAGCCCCGGTTCAGATCCCACATATGAGGCCAGTGACACTGCCCTCTACAGCTAAGATGCTGAACAACAGCTTAACCTGGAGCTGGGCTGCTGTGAGTTGCCAGCGATGGCCTAGGCTGCAGCCCCTGCTGCAGTGGGTTGCCATGGGCCACCATGTGTAGCCAGCAGCCAGCGTGAGCGGCCCTGTCCAGAAGCCGGCGACTGATCTGCCTCGCCCGGGAAGAGCACAATGATGGTGCCAACTTGGGCCAGTGAGGCAACGTCCTCTACAACTAGACTGAAGAACAAAAAGACAGCAACTTGTCTGTTCCCATCCCCCAATTCCCCAATTAAAAAAAAACAAAAATAAAAAAAAAACCGGGGTGCTTAAATGGAAGTGTAAGAGGGACATCTTACAGTTCTGTTCATAATGATCTCATGGGAAAATTAGAAAGGAAAACAAGTGTCAGGCTATTATTAAGCTCTTGGAGAGAAAGCCAAAGTAATAATCATAATAATCTGTAAGGCCTAACCACACATACTCATATGTTTAAGTTGCTACTGTTACAAGTAAGCTTTGTTTCATAAGACAAGATCAAAGAGGCTAGCCCCTCAAAATTAGACGTCTGCTTCTAATGTGCATTGGGATCAAATGGGCCAGTGCAAAGCAGGCCTCTGAGTTTCATGCCTAGTCTGTGAAAAGACCAAGCCATGCACATGTGCTGGGGAGGGTAACTGCTGATGTGCTGAGAAACAGATGATCATTTCTGTCTTGATTTGGCCCACAAGAAATTATACACCTAGTAAGCAACAACTGAGATAACTTGCCTAACCAGGTGCTTGCAGTTTGAAGCATTCTTTTTGAAATTTTGGTCTGATGAATCATTTTATAAATGCAAATATGTACCATTACAAATTCTTTCAAACTGAAGTTGGCTTCTCATTCGACTTCTGAGTTTGTTTCTCAACTTAGCAGAAATGGAAAACCAAATCGTTCTTCTGTTGAAGAATCCAAAGAATAAAATGGTACAATTAGTTTGGAAAAAAAACAGTTTGGCAGTGTCTTAAAAAGTTAAACATAAATTTACAACCCACCAATGCCACTCCTAGGTATCTACCCAAGAGAAATGAAAACACAGAGTTCACAGAAAGACAAAGTTTACACAAATGTTCATAGCAACATTATGCATAATAGCCAAAAAGTGAAACCATCTAATGTCCATCAGTTGTCAAATGGATAAACAAAATGGGGCATATCCATAAATGGTCAACTATTCGTCAATAAAACAGCTACTAATACTACAACATGGATTATCCTCAAAAATATTCTGCTAAGAGAAAGAATCCAGATGAAAAAGACTATATATTGTATGATTTGATTTATTTGAAATGTCCAGAAAAGGCAAATTCTATAGAGACAGGAAGTAGATTAGTGTTTGCCTGGGGCTGGGGATGGGAAGAAGAATCAACTGCAAATGGACAGAAAGGATTTGCCAAGGTAGTGGAAATGTTCTAAACTTAGTAATGTCGATGGTTGCAAAAATCCATACATTCACTAAAAGTCACTGAATGATACAACTGAAATGGGTGAATTTTATGGTAGGTAGATTACACACTAATAAAACTGTTTCTCACACACACACACACACACACACACACACACACACACACACACACACACACACACACAGGTTGTCTCATCATCAAAGAATGAAGTCCAAAAATAGAAATCCTCTAAAATGGTATGAAGACACTCTAGCTCCTCTCCCCCTTTCCAGCCCAGTGACCCTCACTCCCCGTGCCCCCACACAAAATAAAACAGAATATGCAGCACTGTTTTACACGCCTATGATTTCTCACACCTGAAAAGCCACGGTCCCTTTTCTACCCAGTGAGCTTCTACGCATCCTTCAAGACCCAATGTAAATTAAACTTTCCTGAAATAGTCTCTAAAGTGTCTCAGTCAGAATGAGTTTCTCATGTTCCCATAGCATCTTCTATAATATGTGTGTATGTGTGTATATCATTTCTTGTTTGTATTATAATCCGTTTGTTTACAATGTCACCTCCACTGTGTCATGAGTGGGGGTTTTTTTGGGGGGGGGAGTAGAAAAGGTATATACTAAGGGCTACTACTTGTTAAAAATTTACTCGGCATGTTACATTTTTGCACATTTATTTTTTTACATATTACTTCTCGTCTTCACAACAATCCTGTGGGTGATCTCTTACTGTCTCTGTTACTCAGATGAAGAAACTGAAGCTGAAAGAGGAGGCTCACCGTGTCTAAGATCATGTTGCCAGTAAGCAGGAAACAGATACAGACCTACACATGCCGGACTTTCAAAATCACGTTATTTTCACTAATTTGCTTCCATTGGGTTGTCGGAAAAGTCATGATACATTTTTGCAACAAAAAACATAGGAAAAACACACCATACCTTTTCCGACAACCCAATAGTTTACAAAGCAGAGCATAAAAATTTTTTTTAAAAAGATGCATATATTTAATATTTTGTAATGGCAAAAGTTATGAGACCTGATTTTTAGTGTCAGCTTTATCACTGATCATGCGATGTTGAAAAAGTCACTTGACAATCTGGGCTTCTGTTTCCTTATCAAGGAAACAAGAGGGTTTCCCTAGATTATCTCCAAAGTTCCTTCTGGCTCTAAAAATTCTGATTCTGTGCGCTATCTTGCAACCATGGGATTTCAAGACACACCAAACCAGAGCGTACTGGTAATCTTGTGCTTGATGATAATCTAAAATCTCAACATAGGCCATATCTGGTGATGTTACCATAGCACACTGCTGTGAGCTGGTGCATCCCACATATAGCAGGAGTGCTGTAACAATTCTTGAGCAGTCCTTGTGCGGTTGCCGAAGACGCCCGTCTTTCTGACCGCATATTTTGTGAGATAGTACCCAACACATGAACTTCGTCTACACTGCCTTGATGTCCTTCTCTGTCCAAGCACAGGCCATCAATATCCCTCACCTATAAGAAATGCTGCCTGCACAATGCTAGGCATTGCACCAGTTGATCTGCAAGCATTCACAAGCACTGTCTTCTAACTGGCCTCTTCTCTACAACTCATTCAATACTTTGCCAGATAAACTTTCCTGAAACACAGAAGCTCGATTGTGTCAGTCCTGTTTATAAGCTCCCCTCTCCCCCCAGCCTTCCATTTCTTATACAATAAAGTCAAAATCCTTAGTCTGGCCTATAGTCTTTTGTGTTATGGCCCCAAACTGTTTTTCCCAAACCCTTTTCTTCTACTGCTTTTCATAAACCTTGCATTCCAGGCAAAATAGACTCTCTAAGGGTCCTTATATTCAAGGGAAAATGTTAAGAGAAGTATAATTTTTCTGTTAACATAACTTTAAACATCATAAATCATTCTGAAATTTAGAACACGCTTTCCTGATAGCACACACGCTGGACTTTGTTCATGCAATAAATTTATGTAGCTCCCTGTGTGGTCTCTGTCTAGAATGCCCTTTCTCATCATCTTCATCCTTCAAATTCTTCAAATGAGCTGACATGTCAAATGCGCAATGTGCTAACTGTCATATATAACTACTCAATAGAAGTCTTTAGCTAATTCAAAGCTGCTTTCTGTCCCTCTCACTAGTAACTTCTCTCCCTTTCTGTATTCACACGATCTTTCCTATATACTTCTGTTATGTAGCTTATCATTTTCTATTGTGTTTTATAATTATTTAATGTGAATATCTTAGATGCCCAATGATCAAAAGCTCTTGGAAAAACCTGTATTCGATCTTAGTCCTATGTGTATCCAGCACCAAGCACAAATCATAAGTGCTCAATAAATCTTTCCTTAATGAATGAGAAAAAAGCTAGTGCAATTGAGAGACCGCTGGTGGAAACACATCAAAAACGGGTTGGGGATGGAGTGGAGACATTATGTGCAGGTACTGTGCTGAGAACAGTTCACCCCTTATTTCATTTAATCGTTTCAAAAACCCTACGAAGTATCTCTATTTTACTGATGAGGTGTCAGAGTTAGGGAAGTTAAAATAGTGGGCTAATGTCATAAAATGAGTCTGGGTGTTTCCAGTACTATACTTGTCGCCGGTCCTCCCAATTTATCATCCTCCGCAAGGTGGAGGACTTTTTAGGGGAACATGCAGCCCCCACCGCCTTCCAGCCCGCAAGGCCGGGAAAGCTTAAGTCTCACAATTCCAGACCCAACTACAGCGGTATGCGGGCTGAGGGGCGGTCCTTTCGAGCCACACGGGCCCCGCCCGTTGCGTCACTGGTGACGTCATCACGCAGTGCCGTGGTAGCGCAGCCACGACCTTTAAATACGGGCCTCCCCGGGTGCCCACGGCAGCGTGTGGAGTGGGGACGCGGCCCGGGCCAGAGCCGCCGCGGACCGCGAGGTGGGCGGAAAGGCTGCTTTGCAGCTGCGGCACGGAGGGCAGGGCCCTGCTGCTTTGCAAGCGGGCGCGCTCGTGAGGGGCGGGAGGAGGGAACATGGCGGCCCCCTCGGCCAGGCCAGGACCCTCGACTCCTGGCTCTGGCGCGGTCCCCGCCCTCGGCTTAGCGCGCCCCTTAACCTGCCTTCCTGGAACCTTGTTTCTCTTCTCCTTCAGTCCCTTTTCTCTCAGGCACTCCTTTTGCCTTCGTCGACTCTGCCACCCCAACCCTACACTGGGCTGAAATGTTTGAAAGCTGGGTTAGGTGGAAGCCAGTCGGGCCTGTCCAGTGCCCAGAGACCAGCTCCTAAATTGGACTGTTTCTCACGCCGACTGTTATCAGTCCGCCCGGGGTGACAGGAGAAACGCCGAACGTGGCGCGGTCAACCCATATTTGTAGTCCAGGTGATTCCTCTAAGTGAGCCTATGAAATGTCAAGTTGCCTGGATCTCGGCCTCCTCAAAACTGACGTTCTCTCGGAGAGGTTTTTTGATACCCAGGAAGCGTTTGGCTTCCATCGCTTGCCAGAATCTCCCCCATAACAGTGTATATGATTGGGGAAATGGAAGCAAGATTTATTTTGGCAGCAAGGGAGTTGGGGAGAGCTGAGGTAAGACAGCTCCATGCCAGAGGGATGTAAGGAAGTAAGCAATGAGAACACCGCTCTGTTTCTGCTCTTACTTCGCAGTGTTGAGAAAGGAACGTTCCTGGAGTACATTAAATGGAGAACTTCTCCGACATCATCACTGCTGCCCTACTACAAAGAACTGCGGAACGTTCCCCTGTCTGCTCTGTTCTGGTTTAGGTGCCTGTGTCAGTTGAGGGTTAGGTGTTAGGCACAGGCTCTTCCTCACGACACCTGGCCCAGCCAGTCGCCTCCTTTTTAATGTTGAGCTTCTGTTTTTCTTCAGGTTGTGTTGATTCTGGAGAAGCCCTGCTTCTGTTGGAGCCTGCGCTGCCAGGCAGCAGAATTGTAAGCTAGAGTGACGCAGACATCTAAGACTATGAGCTCCATCGTGGCTATGGGTGAACCAAGGCTGAACTGGTGAGTTGCATCTGTTTGTCATCACCTGAAGACAATTGAGGTGGGAACAAGGCTGGGTTAGGAAAGGAGGGTTTCTCACCTGGAGAGACTTGGAGGAAACAGAAAAAAGAGAAGTTCAGTGGCTCACCATTTACCCCATCCTCATCTTCACATACTGAGCATTTTTGAGATAGCTGACTGCATTTTCTCTCCTAAAGTGGCAACAATTCGGCACTCAGACTGCTACTAGGTACAGTTCCATCATGTATTCATGGTTGGTCTCTTAGGAGAAATGCTAGAGTTTTTATGTGTCCCAAGAGCTTTGCCCATTTCTATACAAGTAATAAAAAGACACCCTTTCAGAATAGACAAGCTTCTTTTTGTTATATTAGAATCTATATCAAGTGATAACTGGAAGTATGTTAGAAGTGTATGAGAACTTCACAAATAGAGGACTCAGTTAAGGGGCTTTGTAAAGATCTAATACGTGTGCTACTTTAGATTGATGTCACACATCTACTGAGCATCTACTCTTTGCTAGCCAAGGAGAGTACACAAGTTATGAGATTATAAAGATGATTAAAATAGTGCCTGACTCGAAGATTTAATTAGTATGTGCTCAATTAGTACTTGTTTATTGCAAACAATGCTCCCTCCCTCCAAGGAGCTCACAATCCCTGAGGCCCATGACTTTGTTTTTGTATGATGTGCAAAAACCTTAAAATGTAATGAGATGTCACAGATACAGTACCATAATAAGTAATAACCGCGCTGGTGCGTAGCAAGTAAGGCATTCTAATTTTACCATTTATACCTTAATGGTTATTATTTTGGATAAATGCCTTTAAAAACAGTAAGAAATGAGTATGGAGCAAATATGCTAGAATTTCCCATTTTGGGAATGGGCCAGCCAGAAGTTGCTGTTTGATTAGAAGTATACACATTTATGCTTCTTGCCATAAACTGTGTGTTCAGATGTTTTTACATACTATTGACATTGTGAAACCAGATGTGGTTTAGGGCCTTTGTATAGTATTGTAGTCCCGGAACTACCCTTTTCCTACTAATCTTCGTCCTCTCAGATTAGTAGTCCTCAGTGTTTTTAGTTTTTTAATTCCTCAGCATTTATTGGATGGTTACTCTATGGAAAGACTGATTATAATATGTTAGTCTCTAAATTACTTATGTTATAGAAAAGCATATATGACCATAGGCAGGTTTTAGTAGAGACACACCGTTTATCACATTTGCCAACCTAATGAAAATAGGTAGGATATGCAGTCTTTCTAGTGTCTTTTGGCCTAGCATAATAGTGTGTGAAACAAAAGTAAATTGAGAAGCATTTTCTGTGACTAACCAAATATCTTAATGTTAGGCCCAGAGCCAGAGGTGAGCCCTGTCTCTGACAGACCCTTTATTGTACTTTAATCAGTTCTATCTTTAACGCTCTAGTATCTCTGGCATTTATTTAATTGGATACTAAAGGAAAAGCAAGGCTGGTGATTAGAACTGGAGAGTTTCAGAATGGGCCTAGACTAAAGCTACCCAAGAAGGAAAACATCTAAACTCACACATTTGGTCCATGAAATTAAAATTATTAAGAGGTGACAGTCTAGGAAAGGAGATGTAGAGGGCATGTAGTTATAAATTACAATTGCACCATTGTGTTGCTTAATCTAGCATGAGATTTTGAATGTCAAATGCAAGTAAATTACTTTGCTTCACAGGGATGTTTCCTCAAAAAATGGACTTAAGACATTTTTCTCTCGAGAAAATTATAAAGATCATTCCTTGGCTCCAAGTTTAAAAGAACTGTGTATTTTATCTAACAGGTAATATGTTTATTTATTTCCATATTTGATTGTTATTTTTCTAATAGTTGAAGTTTTACATCCCTCTGTCCACTATTCAACATTCAAATAATAGAAATGTAAAAATTAGAAAATAGAAGAACCCAGTACCCAATGCTGACCACTCTTTGGTATATATCTTTTCAGACCTTTCTCCACACATGAATAGATATATATTAAAACAAAAATGGGATTATATTGTAAATACAATAATACTATAAGTACTGTAAAACTGTTTCGCAGTTTGTTTTTTTCATTTAAAATATTTCGTGTACTTCCATGCTACCTGCATATAGCTCGATCTTCTTAATGGTTGCGTATTACTTCATTATATAGATATGCTTTTCATTTAGCTTGTCTTATGTTGCAAAATGTTTGTGTTCCTCTTTTTTGAAATTACAAACAATACATTGATGAACTTTTTGTAATTATTTCTGAGGTAAATTCATATAAATTGAATTGTTTGGTCAGATGGTTTATATGCTTTAAATAGATGCTGCAGAATTACCTGAGATTTCTCCTCTTCCCCTGTGTGAAAACGCCTATTAAGTGATAATTTTTCCTTCTCCCTGCTTGCCTGCCTGTAACAGCTTCTTTCCTTTGTGAATGCCTGTTTCTACTGTATTGTAGGTGAATCTTGAAACCAAGTTATCAGGTTTACTAGAAAGGACTGTAAATATACCAAATGAGAAATTAAGCTCCTTTAGGGAAGCTCAACTTCTACTGTCATTCTTTATGCGCTGCTTTTGCAATAGAGGAAGAATATTACCAGCCTTTGTATCAAATGAGACTCCATCTTTTCCTCCCTTCTCAGCATCCTTTCTGTCTATTTAGCATCCCCTTACTCCTGTATCTTTGTTCTCTCTTGATCAATACAGGGATACCTTGTTTTATTGTACTTCACAATGTTGAGTTTTTACAAATTGAGGGCAAGACCCTCCACTTGCAAAAAGATGATCACTCACTTTATTGCGAAACTTGCTTGATTGCAGTGGTCTGGAACCAAAACCACAATAGTCTCCGAGATATGCTTGTATTTAAACATGTTCAAGTTTTTCCTGTTTTAATCCTTGGACTTAAGGTTCCCTCCTAGTTACTTTCTTACCTCTTTGCTCATTTGTACTTAGACTTCTTTAAAGACTTATACATGCTTGCTGGGAGGAAATGAGGGACAAAAAATAAAAACTATAAGACATGCAGAAAACAATAAAATGGCAATAGGAAGTCCTTCACTATCAATAATTACTTTAAACAGATTAAACTCTAATCAAAAAACAGATTGAGAGAATGGATTTTTAAAAAACTTCCCTCCCTGCACATCCCACTCTAATTTGGCTTCCTCCCTCACTAGTCTAAGAGCACCCATCTCAAGATCATCATTGAGCTCTTGACTGTGGAGATACCGCACTCTCCTAGTTTTCCGCCTAGTTTTCTGGTGACTGGTATTTCTCAGCCTCTTGCCATCTTAATCTTCAGGCTTCCCATGCTGGCTTATCAGACTTTGGCACTTTTAAAAAATACTGATTTTGCACTCTTCAACCCAGGCTTTCGAATCTGAGCCTTCCCTTGATGTGTTTGTGGAATCAGTTAATAGACCACAGTGATACTCATTTAGGTTGTTTCCATTCCTTTACTATTACAAACAATGAACATCCTTTTTATACATGTATTGGTATAAGTACTGGGATAAATTTCTATAAGAGGTGGGTATGTATGTGGTTTTTTTTTTTCATAGATATTGCTACATTGTCATTAAAAACATTAAAGAAACAAGTGGTTTTTTTATTCCATCAAATGAAAAGATAAGTTCACATAAAGACAAGCAGAGGTTGTATTAGAGACAATTCCAAAAATAAATATTTCAAAAAAGGCAATTTCAGAAGCAACATTCTTTTTGCCAAACTGCATAATTATAATGTCTTTGCTAATATCAGCTATCGAAGGTTAAGACAATAGATCCCTTATGAATGTGCATGTATGGATATTTTTTAAAGCTATTTCTGTTATTCAACTTGTACCATTTCTTGGGGATAAGTAATTTCTTAAAATGTATTGTCAATTAAATAAAGAATTGCCCTTGTTTGAATCAGAGAGTGCCTACCAATTCTAGTATCCTGGGATTTAGTGAACATATATCTTAACCTTAAAAAAACTCATGATTTTAAGAACTTTTGTCTCAGCCTTCATCTTTCCTCATTAGACTAAACTTTTCTAATATTAATTTTCTTTATCCTGCCATTGCAGGATAAAATAATTTATCCTAAATTATTTTAATGGTTCTTCTCGAGTGCAGTTTTCTTCAGCATATCCCAGGCATGGCTTACAGTCTTGGTAATGTGAGAGAGAGGACATCTTGCTCTGTAGAAATCTTTTTTTTCCCCCCCTAGAATATGCTTGTTTTTCTTTAAATTTCTATATAGCACAAAATAATTTTGAGTATAATTTACATTTTAGTATAGAAAAAATAAAGATGCAAGGCATTGAGTTCATGTTTCTAGTTTTTTTGCTGAGTTTTATTAAGTTTTGTTACAGTAAGGAATGGATATTGAGACTATTAATTTACAGCTGTTTTCTTGACGGGAAACTAGGAAGAACATAAAATTTTTATTAGCCATAATTTTGTATTTTTTATGTTCTTTAACATTTTGGAAAATATTAATACTTCTAATTATACTACTTTCAACAATGTGAGGTTTTTATTCAACCCTTCTTCCTCCATTGAAAAGTAAACATTTGCCTGTTTTTAAATTAAAGTATCTGATTATAGATGTTTGTAACTGAATTTTAAGCCGACAAGGGAGAAAGTAGCTTTAAATACAAAAAATATTATCAAATTTTAACATGTTTAATATAGAAAAGTAAATCAAACTCAGGAGGTACGGGTGGACTTTAGATGGAGTCTAGAGGCACCATCTCCAAATGCTACTTAAAGAAGCTACTCCAAATGCTACTTACCCAAACCAGTAGACTTAAAAAGTAGGAAACTTGACATTTTGAATTCTACCTTTTTTCCATAGAAACTTTAAGTTAAAAAGGAGAATCGGTAGTTGACAAAATGAAGGGGGAAAACTTCAAACCATCAACTGAAATAAAATATAATGCTGTAAATGTGGATAGAGAAACCCTGTCAGATGCTTTTGGCTTGCAACTGATGAAGATTTTGACAGCAGTGCACATGGAAATGATCTTGATGTGCTGCCATTTCATTCTTTGCTGAATGTAGCCAATTTAAACTGCTAGAATTTCTTGACATTCCTACTCTGGCATATCTGAGTCAGCATCTTGTTGCTGCAGCAGCTTAATTAAATTTGCCAGTTTGTGCCACAAGGACAGACATGTTCTCATATTCAGAGAGACAGCTGTGAAGCAGTATTGTTAAGAGTTGCGGACACAATACTGTTAGGTTTGAATAGCTCTCAAGACATTTTCTAGTGAGAAATCAATTTGCTGTAATACATTTCTCCCAAGATCAGCAGTTAATATTCATTTTGTTAACCTAAAATATGCTTATTTTTATACAGTTATTGGAGAAACTTTAGTTGTTAAGCATGTCTTTTTTCACCTGTATTATTTTCAGAGCCAATCTAAGCATCCTTATTTTAATTTCCATAATTCTTTTCCCATTCACTAACCACCTCTTGATTAGTTTTCCATCCATAGTTTAGCTCTAAAAGAGTGATCTTGAATATTTTTGCTTTATTTTGGGGCTCCGTTTTTTTCCAAAAATTTTGGAATTTTTACTGTATTTTAGTATTGTAAAGTTTCTTTAAAACAAATCAGTGTTAGTTTTGGATGGAGCTTAACCCATCTTTATCCAGACACAATCTAGGGTGGTAATTCTCAACCTTATCAGGCCAAAACGCTCCCACGTCTCATAACATATATTTATAAGAAATGAGACACCACCTTTACTACCGTGAATTGAAATTCATCGATAATAATAGCTACAGACACAGTATTTAGAAATAATGTCCTAGATATATTAATGTGAAATAGAACAATAATTTGTTTTAATATGTAGTTTAATATGTAAATGCATGGGTACTTCATTATAGAAGATATAATGAAGTAGTCAGATGCGTCAGCTTAAGTGAATAAGGCTGGATATAACAGAAGTTAGATAAACTGTACCATAATGGAACCATAAGAAAAATTAAAGAGAATAAAATGTATTGTTAGGATAAGTAAAAACAGACCAGACTTATTTGTGTATAACAGAAAGCCTGAAAGGACCTTTGATAGTTGTGCAGGACGCCGCCATGCATTACAGGCATATACTATCCTCACCTCTGAATGCCTTTAATTCTTCCCCTTTTTTGACAGCTCAGATGCACCCAAAAGCTTCCAGAATTCCCTGAAGGAATGAATACTGTCACAATTGAGAACCACTGCTCTTGAATATTTCTTACCCCTCTCCTTTTCCCCCCCTAATCCCTGATTTCAATGTCCTCAGGAGTCTTTTAAGTCACCTATTCCGTATGTTCAGTTTGGAAACCTGACAGCACCATGGTCACATTGTACTGATGTACCTGTTTACTTTTCTTTCTTCTCCATTCATTTGTCTGATCCACTTGATTGTAAGGTCCTAGAGAGTAGAGATCGTATTGAACTCCATGTTGGTTGTATCTCCAGTGCCCAATATAAGGCTAGCACATGGTAGTCACTCAATAAAGATAAATGAATGGAGGAGTGAAGAATGAATCAACAAGCATATATCTTATTAGTTTCCCTTCCTCTTGGATTATTGTTGTTTAATTTGGAACCAAATTATAAGGAACAGTTACTGTGGTGAAAATTAGAATTATAGAAGCTAAGGAAGTGCAGTTTGTGTGTGTGTGTGTGTGTGTGTGTGTGTGTGTGTGTGTACTTGAAAACTCTTATTAAAAATGTAGATTACAACAACTGAATAGCAAAAATAGAGACATTGTGAACAAGAGAACACATTTGTATTCATATACCTTAATTGGGGTGGTAAGGTGATTTTTTTTTTTAATTGGGGGTAGTGTTTCATAAACAACTATGGTAACAGGTTATCTAGCCACTCACTACTTTTCTCTTCTAGTATATTTCATTGTAAATATGCCAAGATTTTTTTTTTTGCATTCATACAAAACATAAAGACATTTCCATGGATTCAACCATGTACATGAGTGATAGAGGACTGTACAACTTTTTTTTTTTTTTTAAGATTTTATTGGGGAATCGTGGGAAGGGGAACAGACAAGTTGTAGTCCTTTCGTTCTTCAGTCGAGTTGTTGAGGAAGTTGCTTCACTGGCCCATGTTGATATTATCATTGCACTCTTCCCGGGTGAGGCAGATCGGTCGCCAGCCTCTGGACGGCCACTCATGGCAGCTCTTGGCAGCTCACTGCAGCAGGGGCTGCAGCCTACGCCATTGCCGGGGACCCACGGCAGCCCAGCTCCAGGTTGAGCTGTTGTTCACCATCTTAGCTGTAGAGGGTGCAGCGTCACTGGCCCTCATGTGGGATCCGAACCAGAGCCCCGCTGCTCAGAGCTGGCGTCCCAAGCCTGCTCTTAGCCAATGCGCCACTCGGCCAGCCCTGTACAACTTTTCTAAAACCACTATTGCTTCCATAAGATTTGGCACACGAGTTGGAATTTTCTTTTTAATTCTTGAGATAATTCAAGCAGAGGAGACCAGAGAATTTAGAATCCCAGTGAATTTGTTAACTTCAAGCTTGTGACCTCATCATATCCTATCCTGCTTTTTGCTGCTTTTGTTAACCATATTAACTGATACATCCTACTGAAGAATTTAAGCATTAAAAAACAACTTGCATTGTAATAAAATGTAAACACAAAATACCTGCATATGTAATTGGAAGAGTGATTTACCCCTCTTCAGTAAAGGGGGAAAAACTTCCAAAATGAATAACATGTCTATGGATTATACCTCTTCCTCTCCATCAGATAATTGAAGGTAAGCTTGTAATGTGATCCTATCCTGCAGAATACTTAATTTACACCAAATAGCTAAATATCAAAATGCAAGTGGCAAAGTTAGATAATAATCCAGAATTTACTGTGCTAATCATGCTATATTCTCCCTGGTGATTAAGAATCATGAAGTTCCATGATAGTAATCTTATGTGAAAAGCACATATTTGTAAATTGTATTTTTTTTCCAGACGTATAGGAGAAAATTCGAATGCCTCAGCAAGTTCTGCAGAAAATGAGCCGGCAGCAACTCAAGCAAAGGAAAAAGTTAAAACCACAGTTGGAATGGTTCTTCTTCCAAAACCAAGAGTTCCTTATCCTCGTTTCTCTCGTTTCTCACAGAGAGAGCAGAGGAGTTATGTGGACTTGTTGGTTAAATACGCAAAAAGTCCTGCAAATTCCAAAGCTGTTGAAATAAGTAAAAATGACTACTTGCAGTACTTGGTATGTATTCTGTTCTTCAGCTTCAATAAAAAATATTTAAAAGTTAATCAAGAAATACTTTAAATTTGCGTTTATGTTTTTACGTGCAATCATATTAACAGAAATGGAAAATGAAAGGAGTTTAATTGATGGACAGATTGGTGCATTAATACTTTTGTTCTATTGCAGTTCAGGCATTTTGCTCTAGTTATAAGCATATTTCATCCCTTTTCATCTTAAGTACTTGCAATAGAGCTTTACATGGGTCATTGAACCAATTTAAAATTTTTGTTTGAGACTTTAATTAAGTAGCTTCCAAAGCTTTGACTATATAAATGATATTGTGCTGAACATCATTGTTGCAAACTGTGTTCATATCTATGATTGTTTACTTAAGAAAATTTTAAAAATAAAACTTATCAAAAGCTATACATGTTTTTAAGGCTTTGATCTGCAGTTACACATGGGTAAATTGTTCTGCAAAAAGTTTACACCAATTTGTATCATTAATATAGGGCATTACCTTCTTGCCGCTAATTTGATACGGCAGACATGGTGTTCCCTTGTTTTACACTAATTTACAATGATTACTAATGAAAATAAGCATTTTCTATATGTTATGTGTTTATAAGCCATTTCTATTTCTTCTTTCGTAATTTGCCTATTTGTTTTGTTTGCTCATTTTTCCATTTAGGTGTTTTTTTAAGTTAATTAAAAGCATTTTATAAAATAAGTGTATTAATTCAAGCATGTATTGTAATTATTAGTCATTTGCTTTTCCATTTTTGAGGAGTTTTTCATAGCAAGTTTGTCATTATTATATAATAATTTTTATTAACTTCTTTGATTTTTACTTTGGATAGGATACTTTTAATTGTTCAGCTTCAAATTAGAAATGATTGTTTTTAACCAACCTTCTCATTCCAAATATATCTACTTTTTAAAAAAATCAGGATATGAAAAAACACGTGAATGAAGAAGTTACTGAATTCCTAAAGTTTTTACAGAATTCTGCAAAGAAATGTGCACAGGATTATAACATGCTTTCTGATAATGCTCGTCTCTTCACAGAGGTAAAAAAAATCATGTTTACTTAAACTGCCAAGTAATAGGCAATTATAGCATTTTAAAATGTGTGATGATCCTGCCAAAAGCATATAGAAATATCAATATTATCACGTTAGAGACCAAATTGTATGTAGGTCTTTTATTCCTCATGTGTTTAAATAATAGAAATATTGTTCTGACACCTCAAAATCTTGTACTGTATAGTATGTTCATATTTGTTTTTTTTCTTTTAATGATTCAACTACTATATTTGAGAGTTATATTTTTACTCACATGGATGGTTTGATCTGATGCACTGATTTCCCTTAAGAGAGAATACTCATTTAAGCAGTTATCTTGGTCCTTAAAAATCTAAACGGTCCTTTAGAACTTAGTCACATAAATTTGTATTTATTACCTTCATGATAATAATTACCAGCCACCAAATAAATTACAACTATGAGTTCATTTTTTGATACAAATCATACAAGTTTATTATTAGGTTGTTGAAAAGTCAATGACATATTGTTTCTCTTTTTTGTTGCAAAAATGCGTCATGAATTTTCCGACAACCCAATAGTAAAGCATGTAAATCAGTCTGCCTTGTACCCTACCATTATTAAGTGGGCCTAGGACAAATTTATAATACACTACTTAAATGGTAACTATTAATATATACAGTTGACCCTTAAACAACTCAGGGGTTAGGGGAGCTGACTTACCTGCGCAGTTGAAAATTCATGTATGACTTTTAACTCCCCCAAAACTTACTACTAATAGGCTACTGTTGACCAGAAGCCTTACCAATGACATAAACAGTCAATTAATACATATTCTGTATGTTATATATTGTATTCTATTTGTATTATATATTGTATTCTTACAATCTAGAGAGAAGAAAATGTTACTAAGAAAATCATAAAAAGAAATAATACATTTGCAGTATTTATTGAAACAAATCCACATATGAGTGGACCTGTACAGTTCAAACCCGTATTATTCAAGGGTAAACTGTATTATTGTAGTAGTATTGTAATCCAGCACCAGTATGGATTTCTTTTTAAACCTTTAAAACTGGTCACTATACACAACAATGTGATACACTCAACACTATTGAACCCAGCACTTCAACAAAATGGTTAAGATAGTAAATTTTATGTGTATTTTACCATAACTAAAGAAAAAACTGGTCACTGTAAATTGGAGCAGAGGGTATTAGTTTTACCTTTCTTAACATTTTTTTATTATTATTTTAAATTAAATGTATTGAGGTAACATTGGCTAATAATTTTATATAAATTTCAGGTGTATAACACAACATCTCTATACTCCATTGTGTGCTCATCACTCACAGTCTAGTCTCCTGTGGTCACCATATATTGTATTTGACTCCCCTTTACTCTCTTCACTGTCTCCCTATCCCCCTTTCCCTCTGGTGACCACCATTCTGTTGTCTGTATCTATGAGTTTGTGTTTCCTTTACAATTTTTTATTTTTGTTTATTGTCTTCCTCCACAGTGCTTGTAAGTACTGTTTTGTGCACTGCTGTGTTCCCAGTAACTAGAATAATGCCTGACATACAGTAAGTGCTCAAGTGCTCAGTGTAATTATTTAAGTGAATATAAAAATGTTTATTAACAGAATACGTTATTTGCTAACAACCAGCATTAAGTCTTGTTTTTTAGGCAGATTGACTTGCAGCACATTCTCTCTAATTTGTGTTTTATATCTCCACCCCAAAGATTCATTGATATTTTTCTAATTTCTTTTACTATTTTAAAACTTTAATTTCATGTTATGAAATGTAATATACTTATGCAAAAATATATAAAACAACTATATACAACTTAACAAAGACTTACATACTGTACACCTATGTAATTCCCTTCCAAGTCAAGAAATAAAACATTACCAATAACCCAGAAGCCCTTTGTGTATCTTTCCTAGAGAATAACTTTCTCCTTCCTGAAGAGATAATCACTATCCCAAGTTTGGTGTTGATAATTTCGTGACCCCCCAACCCCAACCCCCTTTTCTTTTCTGGTAGTTCTTCAGCCTCTTTTGCCTGTTTTTGATTTTACCTGAATGGAATACGGTACTTTGTTCTTTCATATGAACAGAATTCTTCCTTCTGTCGCTCAGTATTATGTTTAGGAGATTCATATGTATGTGTATTTATAGTTGATTCATTTTCATTTCTGTACATTATTCCCTTTCATGAATAAACTAATTTATTCTGTTGATCAAAATTTGGGTTATTTACAGTTTGAAGCTATCCTAAAAAATGCTCTGAAAAGTCTCAGATTGTCTCTTGGTTTCTACTGGGTATATCCCTGGGGGTGCCAAAAAACGTATACAAGTGGACACTTTGATCAGCGTTGCTCAAGCAGTAGTTCGCCGTAATCAGCAGTGTCTGGACACTGATGGTAACCATTTTGAGCACCTCTTGTCAAACATCACTTGTATTCATCTTTTGTAATCAGTATGTATTGAGTATTACAATTTTAATACAGTTTTCTTTTCTTAAAATGCATATACATTTTTTGGCACCCTCTATATATATCTAGGAATAGAATTGTTGGATCATAGAGTATGCATACTTTCAAATTTAGTATATAATGTCAAACTGTTTTCCAAAGTTATACCACTTTACATTCCATCCAGCAGTGTTTGTGAGTTTTGTTGCTCCATATCCTCAACAATTGATGCTTTACACTCACTTTAGTTTTAGCCTATCCAGAGGGTATGGTGCTATATATATAATAAGACTGCGCATCTTTTCATATACATGTTGCTCATTTCTTGTGAATTGACTGGTCAAGTTTTGCCCTTTATGCTGGATATTCCATTTATTGTTATTGATATGTGGGAGTTATTTGTATATTCTAAATACAAAGATGTTATGGGTTATATATGCTGAAAGTTTGTGGGGTTTTTTGACAAAACAATTTCCTTTAATCTACAAGTTCCTCCTCCATCCCTTTCTTTTTCTTAAAGTTAATCTTTCCTAGAACCTGAGTCATTTAATCTGTAGAGTTCCCCAGTCATAAAAATTGAATCACACACAATGAACTATTTTGTGTCTGGCTTCTTTCATTCAGCATTTTTTTGAGATTCATCCACCTCGATGCAAGTATCCATAATTTGTTCCTTTTTCTTCCTTTTTATTTTACTGTATGGTTATACCAAATTTGGTTTATACGTTCAACTGTTGATGAGCATTTGTGTTATTTCCAATTTGGGGCAATTATGAATAAAGCCATTATGAACATCCTTGTCCAAGGTATTTTTGGAACATATGCTTTCATTTTTCTTGAGTAAATAGTAGGAATAGCCGGCTGAGTGGCTCGGTTGGTTAAGAGCTCACTCAAAAGTTTGACCTCTGAGCAACAGCGGTTCAAGTCCCGGCCCGAACTGAGCAGCCGCTGAGCTGCCAACAGGTGGCAGGATGGCTCAGCTAAAAAAAAAAAAAAATAGTAGGAATAGAATTTCAAAATCATATGGCAAATGTAGTTAAACTTTATTAGAAACTGCCAAACTGTTTTTCATAGTGGGTATACCATTTTACCGTCTCACTAGCAATGCATGAGTACCGGTTGCTGTATGCTTTTACTAACAGTATCATTAATCGTTTTAATATTAGCCAACCCATTATGGTTTTAATTTGTATTCCTTGATGAGGAATGATTGAACATCTTTTTATGTGCTTATTAGCTTTGTATATATCCTTTTGTTAAATATCTTAAAATTTTTTTTGCTGATTTTATTGGTTTTTATTTCTGAGCCTTGAAAGTTGTTTATATATTCTGAATATAAGTCTTGTGTGTGTATATATATAGTTTACTCCCAGTTTGTGACATGCTTTTTAATTTTTTTAAACAGTGTCTCTCAACAAAATTTTAATGAAGTTTAATTTTTAAAATGTCTTATGGTTTGTACTTTTATATGTTCTACATGGAAATATTTGCCAACCCCACGTGATTCTCATCTGGGGTCACTTTTACTCTTTTACCCTTACCCTACTCCCCTACCCGCCCCCCACCCAGGGGATTTTATCAATGTCTGGAGACATTTTTGGTTGTCCCAACTGGTAGAGTGCTACTGGTATCTATTGGCTAGAGGTCCAAGATGCTGTTAATCATCCTACAATGCACATGACATCCCTCACAACAAAGAATTATCCAGCCCAAAATGTCGATAGTGCTTCTGTTGAGAAACCCTGATCTAGAGGTTTTTATGGTTTTAACTTTTATGTGAATGTCAGTGTTCATTTCAAGTTATTTTTGTACAAGATGTGAGGTTTGGATCAAAGTTCATTTTTCTTTCATATGGGTATCTAGTTCTAGCATAGTGATTTTCAACTGAGAGTGATTTTGCCTCCCAGTGGACATTTGTTGATGTCTAGAGACATTTTTCGTTGTCACAACTAAGGAAGGAGCACTTCTGGCATCTAGTGGGGATAGAGCCAAGGATGTTGCCTAAGTATCCTGCAAAGTTCAGGACAGCCCGCACCACAAAGAATTATCTGGTTCAAAATATCAATAGTACCAATGTTGAGAAACTCTGCCTAGCACTGTTGGTTGAGAAAGCTATTTTTTCTCTTATTGAATTACCTTGTTACCATCGATGTGTGGGTCAGTTTCCTGACTCAGTTCTATTGATTAATTTATGTATCTGTCCTTTTGCCAGTACCACCTAATCTTGTAGTACGTTTTGAAACCATGTGGTGGAAGTCCAGCAACTTTGTCCTTTTTTGAATTGTTTTGGTTCTTTTGGTTCTTATCAGTCTTTCGCATTTCTACATAAGTTTTGGAATCAGCTTGTTAATTTCTACAAAAAAAGGTAGGTGAGATTGTAGTTAGGATTGCTTTGAATCTATAGAACTTGTATCTTACAAATATCTCTTAAAATAGTGTTTAGCTAGTTCGCTTTTCTTTTTAAATAAAACCTGTCCATCTTTTGTCTTAATTAAAAAGTTGAATTGTTTACATTCATTATAATTGATGTATATGGACTTGTTTATGGTTTCTATTTGTCTTTTTCTAAACTTCTTTCTTGTACTTCTTTTGAGGAGATTTGACTTTTCCCCCTTTCATTAAACTATATGTCTACATAGACCATAGAGCATTTTGATTCTTATCACATCCCTCCTGATTGATACTGTTGTTTTAATGCTGTCTCTTTTTAAAATCTACCTACATTATTATTTTATATGGACAGTGTTTGTTTTAATTTATCTACAAATTTTTCCATTTTTTTCTTCTCAAATGTACAATTTGAGTTCTTCATTATTCCTGTAATGTTATATCTTCTAGATGTTCCTTTGATGAAGGTCTCTTATTGATGAACAATCTTTTTCGTTTACCTGGACATATTTTTGTATTTTGTTTTCATTCTAGTAAAATAGTTTTACTTTACACATAATTCTAAGTTGACTGTTTTATTTCTCAACATTTGAAGATATAATTCTTTTTCTGACTCATGGTATTGCTATTGAAGAGTGTGTTGTCTGTTTAATTGTCATTTCTTTTAGAGAATCTGTCTTGCCTCTCTGACCAATCTTTTTTTTTTAGCTGAGCCATCCTGCCACCTGTTGGCAGGTCAGCGGCAGCTCAGCTCGGGCCGGGACTCGAACCGCTGTTGCTCAGAGCTCAAACTCTTGAGCAAGCTCTTAACCAACTGAGCCACTCGGCCAGCCCCTCTCTGACCAATCTTTATTTTTGTCTTACAGTTTCAGTACAATGTGCTTTTTTATAAAATCCTACTTGATTCACTGTATTTCTTATATCTGTGGATTCATATCCTTTATCAGTTTTGGAAAATTCTCAGCCATTTTCAATAATTGCTTCTCCATTTTCTCAATTCTGTCTGGGATTCCCAAATTTCCTAGGTTAGACCTCAGTCTGTCTTCATTTTTATTATTATTATTATTATTATGGTAAAATATACATAATATAAAATTTACTATTTTGACCTTTTTTTTTTTTTTTTTTAAATTAGGGGATAGGAACAGCACTGGGGAATTGGGGGAAGGGGAACAGACAGTTGCTGTCCTTTTGTTCTTCAGCCTAGTTGTGGAGGATGTTACTTCACTGACCCAAGTTGGCACCATCATTGCACTCTTCCCGCAATGATCAGTCGCCGGTTTCTGGACGGCCGCTCAAGGCAGCTGCTGGCTACATACGGTAGCCCTTGGCAACCCACTGCAGCAGGGGCTGCAGCCTAGCCGTCGCTGGCGACTCATGGCAGCCCAGCTCCAGGTTGAGCTGTTGTTCAGCATCTTAGCTGTAGAGGGCAGTGTCACTGGCCCTCACATGTGGGATCCGAACTGGGGCCCTCTGGTGTCCCAAGCCAGCTCTTAACCAACGCAACCACTCGGCCGGCCCCTATTTTGACCATTTTTAAGGACAGTTCATTGGCATTAAATACATTCACACTGTTGTGAGCATATTTCTACCATCCATCTCCAGAACTTTTTCATCTTCCCAAACTGAAACTCTATACCCATAAATAATAACTCATCATCCTCCCTTCCCCCCAGCACCTGGAAACCAACATTCTACTGCCTGTCTCTCCGAATTTGTCTCTAGGTACTGCATATAAGTGGAATCATACATTTGTGATTGGCTTATTTTGCTTAGCATAATATCTTCAGGGTTCAACCATGTTATAGTATGCATCAGAATTTTCTTCTCTTTTTTAAAAAGTTTATTTTTAATATACAACAAAATTTATCATCTTACCCATTTTTAAGTGTGAAGTTTAGTAATATTAAGTACATTCATATTGTTGTGCAGCCAATCTCCAGAACTCTTCATCTTACAAAAGTGAGACTTCATACCCATTTCTGAACTGTTTCTGCTCAACACGTCTGACACCAAATATGTGGGGGCCTTTTTTCTCCTGTACAAACCAGTTCTTCAGCTCTTCAGATAGTAAGCCTAGGGTTTGCATGACCCCCTTCTCTGGCTCAGTAATCTGTTAGAATGGCTTACAGAACTCAGGAAAGTACGTAGTTTACTTACCATTTCATTTACTATAAAGGATACAACTCAGGAACAGCCAACTAAGAGAGGTGCATAGGGCAAGGCATAGGGGGAAAGGGCATAGAGCTTCCATGCCCTCTCCAGGCACGTGTGTTCCCTAACAGGAAAATCTCTGTACCCCATTGTTCAGGGGTTTTCATTGAGGCTTCATTTTGTTGGTATGATTGACTAAATCACTGGCTGTTAGTGATTAACTCAATCTTCAGCCCCCTTCCCTTTCCTGGAGGTTGGGGAGTGGGGCTAAAATTTCCAACCCTCTAATCATGACTTGGTCTTTCTGGCAACTGTCCCCCATCCTGAAGCTATCTAGGGGCTACCAGTCATCTCATTAGCATACAAAAGACATACTTATCATTCAGGAGATTCCACAGGTTTTAGGAGATACGTATGTCAGGAACCAGGGACAAAGACCAAATATATATTTCTTATTGTATTACCGGTTAAACAGTAACTCCCAATTCCCCCCTGCTCCCAGCTCATGGCAACCACCATTCTACTTACTGTCTCTGTATTTGTCTACTCCGGGTACCCCCATATAAATGGAATCATATTGTATTCGTCTTTTTGTGACTGACTTATTTTATTAGCATAATGTCAAGATTCACCTATGTTGTATTATGTATCTAAATTTCCTTCATTTTTAAGGCTTAATAAATATTCTATTATATGTAGATAGACATTTTGTTTCTCCATTGAACATGTGTATATAAATACCTATTCAAATCTTTGCTTTTCAAGGCTTAAATGTAGGAATCTCATGTTCAGCTCCCTACCTGATACTAGAACTGGTTGAGGCATTTGCCCTCAAGCCACCTCATCTTTCATGGGTTTTCTTACTGCTCACTGCTCCTGCTACTCCTCACTCTAGGTGTTCAGGGTTTACTTATTTATTTATGGTCCTTGGAGATTCTCCTTGCTTTTTACCAGGTCCAGCAATGCATTAAAAAGTGTTAGCTGTAATCTATCCAAGACCTAGTGTTTTTTGGGTAAAAGTGCTCTTTAAGTACCTACTGTACCTTACTGCCAGAAGTAGTGTCTGTTAATGTTTAAGTTGCAAACATGTACGATATCATTTTCTTTTTTCTGGCCCAAAACAAAATTTAGGGAGCACAGTAATTTTCACTTTTCTTTGTAATGATAGATCTGTATTGTATACATTAATGTGTTTTTGGTATATTTAGCTTTCAAGATGTTTTTAGTGTTAAACAACATTTAGGGGATGGGTACTGGGGAACAGCCTGAATCTCAGCCTTCTTTGTTCACTCTTAGCTGTTTTTCAAAGACAAGTACATTATTAGTTAAAAACCTTTTTTATTAAACATACCAAATAATGATCCATTAATTGCTTAATACCTACCAGTTGTGAAATACCTTTAATAATATATAATATATCTGCATATAGGTGTAAAACTTAGATTTTCCTTTCACTCTTTATCTTACCATAATTACTGAATTAAGCGAAACTCAGTTATAAGCACTGTAACATCCAGCAGAGTTTTACCAAAAAAGGTGTGCCAACAAATCTCTAACCAGAATAGTGTCTATGTCATATAATTGTCATATATTACTTTGCATGTTCAGATTCTTGCAATGACTGCCATACGACAGGAAGGTCAGGGGTGAAAATTAACTAATATTATAAATGAGCAAAGATATGCTGATCTGAATTTGCAGTTGACTAGGGTTTTTTAAAACAAACAGAACTTTTCCATGTTAAACCAAAACTGCTTAATTGCAAGTAATATCTTGGATTGGATTAAATATTAAGAAATGTATTGAAAAGCATAGATGGAGGGGGAAGATGTGAAAGATAGCTGGGAATGAGGATTAAAGAAGGGAAGATGGGGATATGAAACTATAGATGAAAAGATATGCTGTAGTAAAGTTACTAATTTGTAACTTGACACATTTGATAAATGTCTGAAGGGAAAGGGGACATTGATATAATATAGAGATACGCTTATTGCTAACAACTTTTGTAGTGTAAAATATATTCTAAAAGGTTCAGATTAGGTTCTTTGACGAGAAGAAAAAATACAAGATAATGTCTGTGTGTTTTTTTAAATTATAACCTCCCATCCCCACCCAAAACTGCTATGCTTCTTTGAGTTCTTTACATGTTATCACAAGTGGCATATATACTGCTTGGGTAAAAATGTGAATTTTATTTCCTTCCTGATTTCATTTCCTGGTAAGTTATTAATATTTTGAAAGCAGTTTCAAGAGAAGAAAAATACTCCATATTTGAATTAGTTAACAACATTTCTTTTTTATTTTTTAGATTGTGAATTAGAATGACCTGTAAAATAACTACCTCGTTAATTTTTTGTGCTTGGGAATCTTTTTAGGATATTAAACTTATTTATTTCTGATCATTCATGTAACTGCTTTTATTGCAGTAAAGCTTGTTGAAATTTTCATGTGGCTTTATTTCCTTGACAGTTTCTTAAATAGCATAGAAAGTATGATGTGTCTTCTCTGTTTAATTTTAAATTTTAATATGATTGCTAATTTTAGTATTATTAAATATCAGTATTTTAAGAAATTAGGTTAAAAAGAATTGTTATGAAAAATAAGAGAGTAAATCAAATAAGGAATATATAATATGCCTGGATTGTTAGAAGTTTAATGAAATGAGGCTAATATTTGAAATGAGTAATTATATAGTCACATATACTTAAATTATTTTTCTTGCATTGTTAGAGAAGTACAATACAAATTGAATTCTTGGTTTTTATTTCCTAGAAAATTTTAAGAGCTTGCATTGACCAAGTGAAAAACTATCCAGAATTCTATACCCTCCATGAAGTCACCAGCTTAATGGGATTCTTCCCATTCAGAATAGAGATGGGATTAAAGTTAGAAAAAACCCTTCTGGCATTGGTAAGTTTACCATATGAAAATATATACTTATTTTTGTCTGAAACATCATCTGTATTTCACATAGATAATATTTATGTTTGAATTTTGAACAATGAGATATAACTTTTTAAAAATTCAATACAAATGTGTCCCTTTTTGTGTTATGGATCCCAATACTCCATGTTTTAAAAATGTCACTATGCACTTTATTTCTTGATTTTCTTTTCTTAGTTTCCATCTTTATGTTCCTGAACACAAGCAGAAAGCCCTTTTTTTTAAAGGGGTTTTACTCACAATCGTATTGGAAGTAAGTGTATGTAGAGAGGATATTTTAGAGTTTCTACTATACCCTGTGATGATCTGTACCTCATAAAATGAGAACCTAGAATTTAAATTGGCAGGGAAATCTCCACAGCACCCTTGTGTTGTACCCTTTTTTGTGTTGGCCGTCAAGCAAAAAATGAAAGTCTTGGGTCAAGAAGGCTCTAAATTTGACATTTGCGTTTGGTAGAATGAAGAATTTTAAGTTAAAAGTTTCATATGATGAAAGGATACTTAAGGAAAATATATATCAAGATTTTTTGCAAGAATACATTTATTTTTTTCTTATTTAGGGCAGTGTAAAATATGTGAAAACAGTATTTCCCTCAATGCCTGCAAAGTTGCAGCTCTCAAAAGATAACATATCTGCTACAGAGACACCGGAACAAACAGCCACCGCTACGTATTATGTAAGTAGGAAGGTAGCTTGGGATCTTCCTATGTAATCTTCTGTACCTCATAAAATACAGATAACCTGATTGTCCCAAAGCCCCCTTCCAGAATTTCTCCCTTCTTTTTTTTTTTTTAAAGATTTTTATTGGGAATTGGGGGGATGGGAACAGCGCTGGGGAATTGGGGGAAGGGGAACAGACAAGTTGCTGTCGTTTTGTTCATCAGTCTAGTCGTGGAGGACGTTGCTTCACTGGCCCAAGTTGGCACCATCATTGCGCTCTTCCCGGGCAAGGCAGATCAGTTGCCGGCTTCTGGACGGCCGCTCACACTGGCTGCTGGATACATACGGTAGCCCATGGCAACCCACTGCCATAGGGGCTGCAGCCTACACCGTCGCTGGCGACTCACAGCAGCCCAGCTCCAGGTTGAGCTGTTGTTCAGCATCTTAGCTGTGGAGGCCAGTATCACTGGCCCTCATGTGGGATCCGAACTGGGGCCCTCTGGCATCCCAAGCCAGTTCTTAACCATCGTGCCACTTGGCCGGCCCCAGAATTTCTCCCTTCTTTTTATTACTTTATTAAAGAAATTTCCAATAAGTATAATCAAGTAACAAGCTATGTATGTTGTTTTTCAGGATATTAGTAAAGATCCAAATGCAGAGAAGCTTGTTTCAAGATATCACCCTCAGATAGCTCTAACTAGTGAATCATTATTTGCCTTATTAAATAATCATGGACCAAACTACAAGGAACAGTGGGAAATTCCAGTGTGTATTCAACTATTACCTGTTGCAGGTTTGTGATTTGCCATGTCAGGTAATGCTCTTAAGAGAAGAGTTGCAACAGTTCTAATTCAGCCGTATAAATATAGGTGGTCATTTGTCAAATACAAAAATCTAAGTTTTAACTTGAGGATGTAAGTTTGACATTTATATTCAGTACAACTTTTTAAATATATAGTGCTACTATAGAATTGTCACATAAATAAATGAGCTGTTAGATCTACAGAAACTGTAATCGTGTTGAGTGGTGAAGAGGCAGTTAGAGAAATCATTATGATTTAGGGTGGCCAGAATCCATGAAATGGTGAGGTTCTTTTATCTTTCAGTGAAATGAATGAAATGCAATACTTTATAGACAATCTCAAATGGGGAGTTTCCAGGACTTATTTCATCTGTTGCTGGAATTCAGAATTAAAATAGGTCTATACTTATGAGCATTGTTAGTCTCTCTGTTGACAGTAAAACTAATATTTGCCCATAAATTCCACACTGTACAAAAGATTACTCCCTTTCTATTTTGGTTCATATGTAATAATTTTTTTATATCTTCCAGAATTAATATTATATATAACAACATATTATAGTAAATGAAGGACTGTGTCTAATGAAACAAAACTACAAATTAAAGTTAAATGTAATATATTCTCTGTGGTAAACATTTTATCACTTTTTGAAAGCATAACCCTGTAAGAACTGAGTAATAATGACAGTCAAACCATAAAAAGCAGTAAATCCTTTTTAAAAATCATTAGAACATATTTTTCTTGCCAGTCATATTCCTTGCGCTTAGATCCCTAAGGGACTTTACAGATTTTCTAGTTGAAGGGTGACAAATATAGTGGACTTGTGCTACCACCGTCCTATCCTCGTCTCTTTGTTTAGCGACCCTTCTGTCATACATGTTTTGTTTTGTTTTTTAATATAACTGCTAGAAACTAATCACCCCCTTCTGTTTCTGTTTTAAGGTTCAAAACCAGTTAAAGTAATTTATATTAATTCACCACTTCCCCAAAAGAAAATGACAATGAGAGAGAGAAATCAAATCTTCCATGAGGTTCCATTAAAATTCATGATGTCCAAAAATACATCTGTCCCAGTCTCTGCAGTATTTATGGACAAACCAGAAGATTATATATCTGAAATGGATGTATGTAATGCTTTTTTTTTTTCCTTAAGGGAATGTATTTGTTTATTCTATTGAAGCCTAAAGTTTTATGTAAGTCTCTAGTAGTTAAAAATCTAGGCTTTAGATTGAAACTTAAAATTGAACCCCAGGTCAAGCTAGGCTTTAGGCAACTAATTTAACTTCCCTCAGCCTCATTATTTTCTCCTTTTATAAAAGAAAGGTGATAATACTACTTCACAAGCATTAAGTTTGATATTACCAGTATATGTAAATAGCTGAGCTCAGTCTTTAGTATCTCTGTACTATAAAAACTCAGTCAATAATGGTTATAATTGTGGTGGTGGTTTTGTTTAATTGGTCTCATTCATATTTAAGAGTTTTTAAGTATGAAAAGGAACAGATGAGTTTGACTGGTACAAAAAGTGTGTGGCCAGATTGTTAATCCTTTTCAGTATACTTAGTAGCTCTGTGACCTTAAGCAAGCTATGTAATCTCTCTGAGTTTGCTCATTTGTAAAATGGGTATCATGATATTACTAACGCATAAGATTATTAATTAAATGAATTAATACATGTAAAGCATTTAGAACATGTTGAACTCCATAAATACTATCTTTTATTATTTTGTGTATTTAAAAATATTTTCCATGATTATTAAAGTAAGACAGTCTGTTTATACAAAACTTTCTTCATTTATTCCACAAATATTTATTGAGCAGATACTGTTCTATGCACTGAGGTACAGCAGTGAATAAAAATAAAGCCTCTTTTCTCTTGGAGCTTACATCAGTGGCAGAGGGCACAGATAATTAACAAAACAATAGCAAAAAAGCTGGTAGTGATAAATATGCTATGCAGAAAAATAAAGTAGGCTAAGGGGAAAGAGAATGGAATGGGATTATTTTAGTCATGATCAAGAAGGCATTTCCAAGGACAGGAAATATGAACAGAGACTTGAATAAAGTGAGAGAGCAAACAAAATTAGAAAATAAAATAGAAAAACATTTTTCTTATTAATACCTAAGAGCTTGTACTATTTTAAGGATATTGCAGTTTTTTCTTTTATATTTGTTTATATGTTTTTCTCTGCCATTTGCATTTTAATATTTTTATAATGTATAGGTCATAAAGCACTTCAACTTTTCTCAAGTTTTCTTTTTTCACATTTTTAATCTACCTGAAAACTGATAAAAAGAAAAAAATCAAGTATTTGTCTTGCTTTTCCAGTACTAACTATACTTGAGGGTAATGATAGAATATGACTGTCATCATTTTGTAGCTCCTAATAAAATAGTGAATCTAGGTAATGACCACCATCAGTGGCTGTTAAAACAATGAGAAGATCAGTGAGGAATTTTATAATGGATGCATTAGGTTAATGACATTTGATTGTAATGTCACAAGAAGAAAGATAACCAGACATCATTAGCCTCCTGATGAAAGTGGGAATCCACAGTATCACATATAACATATAACCAAAAAAAAAATTGTACCTGAATCTGATCAAGCTCCTAGATCATTTTAATAGGAAATTCCAAGGATAGAAGAATGTGCTAAATGACACCACAGGGATGCAGAATGTGGACATTTTTACAGGAGAATTAATCTGGTTTATTCTACAATTATCTGGTGGATGTGAGAGTTCGCACAGTATCGGGGAGAGGCATTTGACAAATTAGAAAAAATTAAGAGATGTCAACCAAATGCAATGTAGTGATCTTGGTTGAATACTGATTCCGATAAGCAATTGTAAAAACACATTTATCACACTGGGAAATTTGAAGGCTTGATTAGATATTTTATGACATTAAGGAATTATTTTTATTGATGTAATTAATGATATATTTTATAGAAGAATCCTTTCACAACTCCATGCTAAAATATTTCCAGATAAATAATATTTTTAATTTTATCTAAATTTATTCTGTTGGGAGTAAAAGCATTGTTTTTCAATTAATTAATTTTTGGTGTTATAGTTATTAAATTTGTTCATTTTATTATGATTATATTATTTTCCTATTTCTTGAATAGGCTATGAGTGATACTTCTGATTTTTAATGTTTAGTGTTCTAATTTTTGTTGCTTTTTAAGTATTCTGTAATTATTTTAATTTCCTCTTTGGAGTGTTTTTTCATTTCCAGGTGCTTGGGTTTACTGTTGTTAATTTATGTTTTTCTTAATGATTTTCTAATTTTATTTCCTTCTAAACAGCGAGTAAGACCTTAGCAGATTCTGCTTTGTGCTATATTGATATTTTCTTTGTATATTAATTTATAGTCCATCTTTCAAAATGCCCCTTGGATTTTTGGGAGGGAAAAGGTATATCTTTGTAGTCTATATGTATGTATGTGTGTGTGTGTGTGTGTGTGTGTGTGTGTGTGTGTGTGTGTGTGTGTTTTCAGTCATTCATATATATTTGTTTCAATTATTTAATGTTATTCATACTTTTCTATGCTTCTATTTATTTTTACTTAGAGACAGTGTACCATTGGCCAAATTCAGTTGTGTTTCTGCCAAATTTCCCTTTTGTCTTTCAGTTTTGACTACATATTTTGATGTTATCTGGCATGTCACAATTCATGATCAGACCATTATCTACTTATCATGGGTTTCATCTTTGTTCAACGTAGGATTCCTTTTTCTGTGTAATGCTTTTTGCATTGAATTCTTACTGCTATTCCTTCTCTCTTTATTTCTTGTTGTTATGCCCTGTGGTTTTGTTTTTAAACCTTTTTGTGTAAGAAGGCCTCATGTAAACAGCATATATCTTAATTTTTTTGAGTAAATCTAGTAGTAATCTTTCCATTTTAGTAAGAGCAACCATTTACTGAGAAGCCACTTACTGTGTGTCAGGGACTATGTCAAGTAACTTTCTGTGTGTATTTTCTTATTTAATCCTTAGAACAAATCCAAGAAGATGACCCTATTATCACTATTTTAGAGATTAAGCTTCAGAGAGGTTAAAAAACTTACACAGGTTGATCTTACTCACTATCTGATTGCTGTCAGAATACTTCTCTCTCAAATCCTAAACTATAAGGCTAGTGGGTGTACATAGCCCGTAATGAATGTTCCATGGTATTTATCTAAAGTGCTCTGCCAGATTGAGGCGAGATGTGCTGCTACTTGGAGAGAGGACAGTTTATTTCTGAACAAATCTGTCTGTAGTTCTTCCATTACCAGAACAGTACATGTAAAACTATAGCCTCAATAGCTTCATGTCTGAGAATACAGTAAAGCCACTTTCTGTTCTTTTCTCTTCATATTACTGATACTTGTTTTCCCTAATTAGATGTGGAAAGAAAGTCACTGATTAATGTTAGGGATGCAACAGAGGCTGGTGACACTTCCACAGCTGCATTAGAAAGCAGCTTCCTCACAGTGGCAAAGAAGCTTTTCTCCTGGTCAGCTATGTCCACATGTCTCTGCAAGAATGTGTGGAGTAGGTGTGAATGAAAATCTACTGCCTTCCTGTTTGGCCCTACATTTCTTCTTTATGGTCATGCCTATTTTTTGATTAGTGGAGATTCCTCTAGGAATGTGGTAGTTCACAAATATTCCTAATTTCCTGTGCTGTTACAGCTTAGACATTTGTCTGTGTTTCATCAACATTTCACTGAGAATGTAAGGTTGAATAAATTAGTTGCTAGAATTTTATTGTCACCTTAAACAAGAATTTTTCAGAGCCAGTAGACTTTTCTTTCTGCTTTTAAAGATCATGAACTATGTATGTGAGGTGTAGGAACATTAAGAGAGAGATGAGGCATAGCCTGGAATTTTTGCTGATAGTTTACCAATATATTTTCTTAAGATGCCTCCTGAAGTTAATGAGTGCCGAAAAATTGAGACTCTTGAAAATATGGATCTGGATTTTGACGATGACGTCACAGAACTTGAAACTTTTGGAGCAGCCACCACCAAACCATCAAAGTCACCGAGTCCAGACAGCACTTCCACCGTACCCAACATGACAGATACTCCCACAGCCCCCAGCGTAGCAACCACACCTGTGGCACCAACTGCACCAGACATTTCTGCTCATTCTAGGAGTTTGTCTCAGATTCTGATGGAACAGTTGCAAAAGGAAAAACAGCTGGTGACAGGCATGGACAGTAGCCCTGAGGAGCATAAAAATAAAGATGATCAGAGATCTGTACCATGTGATAAAAAGGTATCAGATAGTTCTGACAAGTCTTTGATGCAAGATGGTGACTTGAAAACACCTGATGCCTTACAGTTAGAAAGTTCTGAAGAAAATGAAACCTCTAATAAAAATGATACGGCTAATGATATGGTAAGTGCCGATGAAAGACTAAATGTTCCAGAGAACACAGACAATTCAAAGGAAAAGACTGTTACATCAGAAGCAGGGAAAACTGAAGATACGATTCTTTGCAATAGTGATACAGATGAAGACTGTTTAATCATTGATACAGAGTGTCAAAAGAATAGGAATGAAATGACAGCTGATGTGGGTCCTAATTTAAGTTCTAAACCAGCCAGCCCACATTCTACACCAGGACAGCCTGCTGTAGGAAATCAGACTACTACTACTTGTAGTCCTGAAGAGTCATGTGTTTTAAAAAAACCTATCAAACGAGTATATAAAAAATTTGACCCAGTCGGGGAAATTTTAAAAATGCAGGATGAACTTTTAAAGCCAATTTCCAGAAAAATACCTGAATTACCCTTAATGAATTTAGAAAACTCTAAACAGCCTCCTGTTTCCGAACAACCCTCTGTTCCTTCAGATGCCTCTAGTTGGCCCAAAACTGCGTGGCCTTCTGTGTTTCAGAAGCCAAAAGGACGTAAGTAAATATTTACAAAGAACTTTATATTAACGGTTTTGTCTGTTCCTTGTCCTTTGATTATTCTCCCTCACTTTTTCTTTGTTATAACCTGTTTTATAACCTTTACATAGTCATTGATATTTCATTTTTTAATCTACTGATCAGTATTTTAACTTCCAATCCAAACTATCTTTCTAAATATGTACCCAAAGTTGTATGGATTTTTGTAATCTATGTTCATTCAACATGTACAGTGGCTACCAAGCTATAGGTAATGTAGTTTGCCAAACTGATGAAGGGGAAATGCATCAAAAAAATCATAAACATTTATTAGTCCAAAATTTATTCTTGGTGTTAGACTGTAATTTTGTACTTTCTCGTTTTGTGAAATAGATATAAAGCTGTATGTCAGCTCTGCCTAGATGAGGAATAACATTATTTTTTAAAACCCTTCTTCTCACTTCATATGTTGTCTCACTAGCTTATACTTTGCCTAGGGTTAGCTAAGGTAGTAGTTAAAAGAAGGAGAACCTTAAAGCTTTGATTGCAGCTCTTGCTGCAGTTCCGTTAATAGTAAACAGAAATGGCAATAGTGTGATGGATGGTCACCTCAGAGGAAATAGAAAGTTAAAATTGATAGAAGTTTAAAAATAGATAATTGAATTGTTTTATCTTGGATTATGATGGATAAAGGGTTAATGTATTTTAAAATAAAAATAAGAAATATAATTATTTTTAAAGGATTGCCATATGAACTTCAGGACTATGTTGAAGATACATCAGAATATGTAGCTCCTCAGGAAGGAAATTCTGTGTACAAGTTATTTAGCCTGCAAGACCTGTTGTTACTTGTGCGATGCAGTGTCCAGAGGATAGAGACCAGACCACGCTCTAAAAAACGGAAGAAAATCAGAAGAGTAAGTTGTAACTTGGGGAGTTAGGATGTGGTAACAGAAGTAGATAATCAGCAAATATTTAACATGCCATTGTCATGAAGTGTAATTTTAAATTGTTGATCATTCTTATGGTAGTTTTTCCGGGTTGAATTTTTTTTTGGTAAAATACTGAAAACACTTTTAATAAGGTAAAGTGTTTAGTTGAATGTAATGGTGATGAATACCGATAACATTCTTGCATGGACTATATAAACCCTGAAAAATGGCACCATCATAGATTTGACCTAGACTGGTACATACTGTATTTTGCTGTGTATAATGCATACTTTTTTGCCCAAATTTGTGAGGGAAAAATAAGGATGTGCATTATACATGGGTAGTACTAATTCCGTATCTATATGAATGTTTTTAATTCTTTCATTTATGCTTATGAGTTAAAAATGTAACTCTAGAAATCAATAACGATATCCATATGCAAAATAATACCCTGGAATATGATAATCGGTTTCGATTACCTTGCAGTGACAAAGAGTTCTTGGCCTTCTATGATGCGTAAATATCGTAAATTTGTTACTGGTACATAAAACTTCTTATACCTTGTATCTGTTTTCGTGTTTTGTAATTATTTGTTATGTAAAATTTTTTGTGCCATAATATATTAAAAATAAATGCTACACTTTCTTTATAATACAAAAAAACAAGTACCTAAATGTAAACAAATAAAAATTTGAATTAAAAAATTAAAACGAGGGCCGGCCAAGTGGCTCAGTTGGTTAAGAGCTCGCTCAAGAGTGTGACTCTGAGCAACAGGGTCTCCAGTTTGATTCCTGGCCCAGCTCGAGCTGACCTGCCGCTGAGCTGCCAACAGATGGCAGGATGGCTCAGCTAAAAAAAAAAAAATTAAAATTAAAGATATTTTACCTGAAAGTTTGGCCAAAAACATGGGTGCATATTATAGACAGTAAAATACAGTATGTTCCTGCTTTCTCTGTGAATTTGGATTTCCATTATGTCATATTAACCCCATTTTATCTTACATTGGGGATCTTCTTGACTCATTTTAGAAGTCCAAATTGTGAGAGGTAGGCTTTCACACATATTTGAAAAGACTTCCCAGGATTGTTAGAAGACCAAATGTCTTCCTTTCTTTTTTACCTGTTCTTTCTTTTGGGGTTTGATAGAAATATTTTCCTCAGTTAAAGAAGTTTTTGCTACAGTTTGAGTAATTGGCTCTTTTAACGGTTTTCTATATTTGATATTTGAAATTATCTTTCACATTTGTTTTCTATTTTGTGTGTGTGACCACAGAATTCTGGAAAATAAAGAGGAACTTTATTTTTTTATTATTTTTTATATTATAATTGATTATGTAAGAAATAGTGAAGTCGAATTTTTTCTTAAGAGAATATTTTCTATTGTGTATATTTGTCATAGTACACTTTTTTTAAAAAAGTTTTGATGTCTGTCTTTTGCTGTCCTACCATCCAATAAGAAGACTCAATGACCACTTTAGAATGTCAGTGTGTTTTGAGCTAGGGATCAGGTGAATCAAGAATTGTGATTCCCCACCCCCACTGTCCCCCCCTAAAATTGTGATGTTCCAGCATTGGCCTTTGTGGGTCAAGTCCCTGACTACTACTTTATCATGTTGAGGAATAACTGAAAAAAGCAAAAGAAGTGTCACCTTTTTTAAGCTGCTAATGGCAGCATTGTTATAGTCTATCATGAAAAACCTTTAAGGCTGTCTTCAGGATCCGGGATTTATAGTTTGTCCACCAGATTCCAATGAACTTGGTGGGTCTTTTGCTTGATGATACTTTATCCTTTGTTAAATTTAAGGAAGAATGTGAATAAATTATTAAATTCCTAATTCTCATAATTTGGTTTTCATTACTGGTTCAGATTTGAAATTTTAGAAACCAAATGGTTTTGAATTAAATATGCAGGAGAGGTTTTTTTTTAATAAGAAAAAATCAAGGAATGACAAAATACTGTATGTTGATATCAGTCTCCTACTAGATAAATAGTAATATTCTCTGTATTAAAAGATTTTACTTTGCTAATTTTTTTCCTTCTCCTTTATATTTAACTGTGATCAGTTTAATGGCTGTCACATGAGCATCTTGGATACATGTATCAGAGCTATGGATAATATTTTCATGGTTCTTTTTCTTTAATTCTTACTTGCTATCTCTGATTTATTTGGGTACTACCCACATTTCTTTCACTTTCTACCCTGTGAACCCATACCACTTTGTATTGATCTGCCAGCTTACAGCACTTAGGAATTATTGATTGGCAGTGTCTCTTAAGTGAGAATAACCTAGCGATATTTTGAATACTGATTCAATCCCTGAATTCCTGTTAAGGACATTGTCACTCACTTGACTAAAGTGAAATTTGAAAATGTCAAGACAAAAACCTTATAGGAGAGAATTCATTCTTTATCAAAATATATCAGAATATCTGAATAGCCTTATATTTCTGATTGTGTCAAACCCAAAGTAAAATTTAAAAATTTTCAGTGAATGCTTATCATATTGCACCTATCATTATATGTAATAGTTTAGTGCACATGGTTTAAATCTGTTAGTAGGATGTATTCCCTTTGGAATCATGTTCTATTTGTCTCTGTTTCTCCCAAATGTTTTATACCATAGAAACTCAATAAATAGGTATTGAATAAATGAGAAAAATTGAGGGGTAAGGAGAGAGGAGCATGTTGTTAAGAAAGGGAACTTTAGCGAAGTTGAAACACTACTTTGAGAAAATTTTAAGTGGTACTATTTAAACTCTAATTAGGTTAGAATGCACCCTCATTAATATTCCCTACTTAAAAATCAACTTTTTTAGATAAATCTTTAAAATACTTAGAAGTCTTATCAACCTCTGATGTCTAAGAACCTCATCTTTCTTTTATTTATTTTTGGTTCTTCAGTTCTCTGTTATCATAGTTGAGATTTTACTTTCCAGTGTCATTTATCCTTCCTCATCAAAATTCTGCTTAATAAGAGCTGCACATCAGAGGAGAACTTTAAACAGCAGATAGTCTCAAATGATGGAATGAAATAGAGGGTTAATTTGGACCACAAAATGTGGCTGGAACTTACTGAGTTCCACACATGGTTATGAAATGCACACCAGGTAACTTTGAATGATTTGATATTATGTTATTTTCTGTCTCAGTTAACCAGATTTCTTAAGAGATGTATTCTAAAATGATATAAAAATTGAGATGCAATTATTTTGATATTTATTTTGGCATTCTAGGGCTGGAAAAAGTATCCTGAAGGTGCTTGAATATTAGGAAAAAATAGAATGTACCCAGTGGGATCAATGACAGGATACCAGCTATGAAATATCTATTCAGGAATATATGTAAAAGTTTAAAAGGTTTATTTGAAAAGTTGGAAGATAGAGAACCAAAACAAGCTTTCATTTAAGGGAGAATAGGAGCTACCTATCAAGGAAGAAAGGAAATAATAGATTTAATTTTTATAGTTTGAAAAGTTTGTACTTAAAATTTCACTTTACTTTTGACTAGTCTAAGATAAAATATTCAGACTTTTCTTTCCCTTGGCTTCCTGGAGATGGCAGTAGAATACATCTAGAAACTAAAAACCAGATTCAGAACTTAGTTTTATAGATATGGCAGTATTATCAAAGAAAATCACCCTAAGTTTTTTCTTTTCAGAAATAGTAATAGTCTTTTTAATTTAAAAAAATCTAGAGTTAACTCTATTATCTATTGATGATTTAAAAAGGGGATCTTCATCAAGTATTCTTTTCTCAACCCTGCTATAAGCTGGGTGGTGTCCCTGAGCAAATTTCTTACCCTCGGGGCCATCATTTCTTTATCTCTAAATTCTATCTGCAACTAGAAGCAACTGTAAATGCAGATGACCAATTGCTGAGGAATTATTATACAATAAAATGCTTTTAGCAATAAAATTATCCTCATCATAATACATCTTTTTCTTTTTTCTTTTTAAATTAAAAAGACACTGTAGGGGCCTTACCACTCCAAGTTTGGCCCTGAGAACAACTTGTTAAAAACGTAGAATCTTCACCTCAGATTCTACATTTTAATAAGAGCACCAGGTTCTTCCTGTGCACATTGAAATTTAAGAAACATTGCTTTAGAGTTTTACAACATTAAAAGTTAATCATATGAACCAAACTTATTTTTAACAGAAATTTTACTGGATTTAAATTGTTCTTACCACCACTATTATGCCAAGCCCATTAAATTTGCCACTTTGTAAAAATCAGGAATTGTGAAACATTTATGAAGTATTTTCAAGTATATAAATAGTGACAGCTTAGTATAATTTCAGAAGTACTAGCCATATCACTCTCTAAGTTCCATAAGTCATGTGTTTCTCCTGCAGCTGGAAATGAAGACACTACTGTTAAGAGTAGAATTTTCTTTGACAGAAATGAGATAACATGAGTACAGTGAACATGACTAACATTCTTGCACACGCATGTATCTCCTTTTATGTCCTCTTTTAAATCAGTAATGGGTCATTTTACTTAATCTCTTTCGTGTCCTGACCAATAAACTCTAAGTGGATAATTTGCCAGGTACTTAGTGTCTGGAATAAAGCCTTTGTATTAATGAAGATAATGACATTCATAGGTGTTAGTGTAGGTATTAATGCTCATACATTCATAGAATGAAAACAAGCTGCTCAGAGTATATGAGCCTTAGATAAAGTAATTAATGCTTTAAAGGGGCAAAAACTTTGTACCTTTTTTATCCTCTTGAGAATTATTAGTATGTATTACAGTCATTGCTTCCCAGAATCTAGCTTTGAACCCTTGGGCCGTTGTGTATCATGTTCCAAGGGTTCTGCTGTTGGTCACATTCCCTGGCAGACATAAAATTTGTACATATGTGGGGAGGTATGTTGATTGGAGAGGGGGTTCAGGATCTCTGACTCATCTACCTCTTGCCCCCATCCACCAAGCGTTCTGTCTGTCTTTCTGTCAGAATCCTACTGTATTTAGGATGAATAAGATTACCTGAAAAAGCATTTTGAAAGTGACAAACTTTATAGGCAAATGTTTTTGCTGTTAATAGTAAATTAATGGAACTTTGAAAACGTAAAACCTTGCATTGCAGCAATTTCCAGTTTATGTTCTACCAAAAGTGGAGTATCAAGCTTGTTATGGAGCTGAAGCTCTGACTGAAAGTGAGCTCTGTCGCTTATGGACTGAAAGTTTATTGCATTCCAACTGCTCATTTTATGTTGGTAAGTTGTGTAAGAGGCCTTATTCTCCTTTTAAATTCCCTCGTAAGTACATACTTTTTAATTCTGTTGTAAATATGTCTACTCTGTACTTTTTGTTTTCAGTTTTCTGATTGTGTTAGCATTCCTTTCGATTATTAAAACACCATTCCTACTGCATTTAAATGGCAGGATGGGACTAGTGATATCAAATGTTTTAATTTCCCTCTTATTCCCTATCTATGTCGTTGTACATGAATGTCAACATAATTATTTTATTTTTAAATAATTTACTTAACAGTGTAATTAACTAAAAATATAGATATGTTTTCTAACGAGCTTCTTTTAAAAATACTATTTGAGGGGCAGCCAGTTAGCTCAGTTGGTTAGAGCTCAGGCTCATAACACCAGGGTTGCCAGTTCGATCCCCACATGGGCCACTGAGATGCACCCTCCACAACTAGGTTGAAACAACTACTTGACGTGGAGCTGATGGGTCCTGGAAAACACTCTGTTCCCCAATTAAAAAAAATTTTTTTTTAAATAAAAATGTCCAGGGCGTTTACAGCAAAAGTACAAAAAAAAAAAGCAACTTGTCTGTTCCCCTCCCCAGTTCCCAATTAAAATCTTTTTTAAAAAAATGTTTTTAATTAATAAATAAATACTATTTTATTGGTTTAAGCATATATTTTGAAATTTTCTTAAAATTATAGTGACATTGTTTTTAAAATCTCAAATATTGATCACATAGTTTTTTTACCTTGTTTTTGTTGTCTTTTGGGGAGATAGGGATTTAATTTGTGTTGACTGGTTTCATGTACTGTTAACATATTTCACATGAATTACTAATCATTATTGATATTGACTTAATATCAATCCCATACTTCTCAAGTATACCTAATCCCATACTTCTCAATTCATCCCACACATCTCACTCCCTCCCAACCATCTCAAGCTACCCCTCCATTAAGTCATTTTCTTAGTTTGGTCTTTCAATGCAGTATTTTTTTTTTTTTACTTCTCTTATGACTTGTTACTTTCTACTTTATTGTTCTGTTTCACACCACCTTCCCATTAGAAAATAAGCAGTTTAAGGTCAGAATCCGATGAAACTTTGTATTCTCGTAGTGCTTAGCATAATTCCTGGCATATAATGTTATGAGTGTGTTTTTCTTAAAGGTTACTCACTTGAAAATTTGTTTCTTATTTTAGTTAACCAGTATTTTGTCTTCATATTCTATGAGAGTGGTAATAAGATAACTGATTTATTCTCTCTGCTTAACCCAAAAAAGAAGTGGCTAAATGCACTGTTTGGTGGAACTTAGCCCGCTCTCCTCCCCTCACACACACTGCTGGAAGTTGATTGTAGTAGTTTTTGGCCAGTAACCACGATTTCAGTGTTCCTCCAAAAGACCTTGCCTTGAAATACACCAGCAGTCTTCATGGAAGCTACTTGTACGCAAGTGCCAGCCACGTCCATTTTAGGAAAGAACCAAACAAAAACTTACCATTGAAATGCTTTTTAAAGTACTGAAAGAGAAAGATATTTATGACTAAAACATTTAAAGTGTTTTTTTAATGTATAGTTTAACAAAACAGCCATCATTTATGTGGCTTACTTCATCTAAATTTTTAAAAGCCCTAAATAATCATTGCCCTACGTGCTGTTTATCCTCAACAAATCCTACCCACTTATATAAGCCATTCATTTTAATGTAATTCAGATGGTGTATTTGGTTTCTTTCATAATTGTTTGATGAGAAACTTACGTTGTATTGTGGTGTTTTCTTCGGGGATTTTTGTTTTTTTGTATGGGGGTGAATATGTTTTTAAACGCTATTTTAAAAGCATCTATAGGTTTTGAGGGTTTGTTTTTTTTTAATGTTGTTATATTACTCTTTTAATTTAAGAAAAATGTTGCAGCAGGAAGGGAGTGTAGGAGAAAGGGCTCCTAAATAAGTTTTTATTATAGTTACTTTCTGGAAACGGGATAAAAACAGAAAGCAACAGTCAATTTATCATTGTAGTGTCTCGAATGATTGAATATAATTAAAATAAGTTTTATATCAGATGTGACTATAAAGTGATAATGTGTGAATCATTACTTAGTCTCTTTAATTTATAGTTATACTTGACACAGTGTAGACTCAGTGGTTTGGCTTTAAGGGAGAGTGCCAGTGTACAGATGGTCAAGTTTAAAGGAGATGTGTATGAAATACTTAGACATCTCACTTCAGAAGCATTTATTATTCCCTTGGACACCCAACTAACAAGCTAATTAGAAATTATTTTTACCTATATAATACTTTACTAGATATGTTATATTATACACTTAAAAGCAATACTGTGTTTCTTTTCAAATACTGTTTTTTGATCCTCTCTGTAACATCAGTCTTCCTCCCTGTACTATTCCCCTCCTCCCAGGCTCCAAAAGTATAGGTCATCGGATATTGTTGGGAATATAGTTTTTCTCTTCTCCTTCTGGTTCATTATGTACCTACCACTCACAAACCAAATTATATATTATATGATAGAATTGAAATGTTCCAAAAACATCCTTAAAAAGTATAAATGTGTGTGAGTGTGTGTGTGTGTATAAAATACTAAAGCAATTTTTCTAAGTCTCATTTATGAAGTATGTGCTGTGGTCAAACACTATATATCCATTCATGCTAATTCTCACTGTTCTGTAAAGTAACTGATGTTTATCTTTGTTTTACAGAGGAAGAAACTGAGGCTTAGAGAGTTTATTGCCTAAGATTCCACTGTGGGAAATTCAGAATTCGTATTCATAGCTTTTCTGATTCCACAGCCTGTGCTTTTTTCACTATAATGGAATAGTGGAAAACATACTCAGTGTGGGAATCAGAAGATTTGTGTATGAGCACTTTATATCGTATAGACCTTTTACCTTGGGCAACATCATTTAAGCTCCCTAGGCTTAGCTTTTTCATCTGTATGTAATGCGTATACTGCTATTTTGTTCACCCTACCTCAGATGCTATATATACAAATCCTTTTTATTACAAGTATTATGTAACATATTGCCCCAAAAGCAGGCTTCTCCTTGATGAAAATAGATACTATAAGACACTGAAGTAACACTTGGTATACTTTTGTACTGAGAAAAAATTATTATCCTAAAATGTCGATGAAAATATGGAAGTTCATCTTTATGATACAAGAGTAAGAAAGCATTTCTTAACCAAAACTTAAAAGCAGATTAAAGCAGAAAGACCCATAATTTCTCTATACTTAAACATAATTTTTAAAAATGTCTATATAGTACCTCCTATTCTAAGATTCTGTCAGCTGTAAAATACACCGTAGAAATAACGTTTATCTTTTAACTTTTTACATATACTACACATTCGTAAAAGAGAAAACTATATCAATATACAGTTCAAGGAATTATAACAAAGCCAGCCCCTTTGTAACAAGCACCAGATCAAGAAGTTGAAAACTACCAGTACCCTAGAAGACCCCTCACAACACTTCCCAATCATAGCCTTCTTCCTGTTCTCCAGAGGTAACCATTGTCCTGCTTCTAATGTAATAGCTTTGTTTTGCTTACTCTATACAAATGAAATAATAAAGTAGTAGTCTTTTGTTTATGCCTTCTTTGACAACATAGTCTTTTTTTAATTTATCCGTGTTGTATATAACAATAGTTTATGAGTATTATTGTTTTGGCATATTCCTTTGTAAGAATATAACACAATTTATTTGTCCATTAACTTTGGGAGCCTGTTTGAGTTGTTTGCATTTTAATGCAACTATGAACATTTTTGTAAATGTCTGTTAACACGGTGTTGCTGTTGGGCAGATACCTAGGCGTGGAATTACTGGGTCATAGGTTAAGCATACTTCAACTTCAGTAGTTAATTCTATCAAGTTTTTCAAAGTGGTTGTACCAATTTGCCTGTAAGAGAGAACTCTTCCTTGCCTCTTCTACCTTCTGGTATTGGGCAGCAGTCCTTGGTGTCCTTGGCTTATAGACGCATCACTCACATCTCTGCCTCTGTCATCATGTGCCGTCTTCTTCCTGTGTGTCTCTTCCCTCTTCTTATAAGGACACCAGTCATATTGGATTAAGGGACCACCCTATGCCAGTAGGACCTCATCTTAACTAATTACATCAGCAGTGATCCTATTTCCAAGGAAGGTCATATTCTGAGGGGCTGGGGCTTAGGGCTTCAGCTTATTGGGACACAATTCATTCTATAACATGTTATTTCTCTCTTATAGTCCGTGTTTTATTGTATTCCAGGCTATTCTTTCTCAAGGGCCATATAGCGAATATGAAAAATTATAGAGATAATAGAGCTAAAACGTTATCTTCTTCTAGACAGGATTACTTTTGTTTTCTTTGGACAGGTGGCCAGCCACACTAGCAGTGCTGATTCATGTTAACCCAGTTTCTGGGACTTAGATGACTTGAAGCTTGACTTTGGACCCTGGAGAGGCCAATCTGTTTCCCCCTGACTGCTCAGGTGTTGCCATTCAGGGTCTGTGTGGATAGGAGTTATTGTAACAGAGCCATGCTGACTCTTGCCAGTCATCAGAAAGGCCTGATTGCAAGGCTGGCCCTTGGCTGGTGTCTGGGAACTGGCTTGTAAGCAGTCCCTACACAGAAGACTTTCTCTAGCTGAACGGTAGCTTATTGTGCCTGTACTGTTTGAACAAACCATGTGGCTTATTCTGAACATCAGCTTTTCTTCTGAGAGTCTGGAATTGTGGTATGTGCTAGGCAGAGGGTGCCTATATGACGAGTCCCCAATAAAAACCTTGAGTGCTGAGGATCTAATGAGCTTCTCTGGTGTACAGGACAAGCTGGAGGCAGTAAGTGCATCCTGTGCAACTCCAGGGGAAAGGACTCTTTATTATTATTTTTAATTGTAAAAAAAACATAACATAAAACTTACCATTTTAACCATTTTAGTGTACAGTTCAGCATACGTTTTTTAGTGTGCAATTCAGTGGTATTACATTCACAGTATTGTGCAGCCGTCTCTTCTGTTCAT